TCCGCCTGTCTCTGCCTCCCGAGTGCTGGGACTAAAGGCACGCGCAACCATGCCCGGCAGAAAACGCTTTTTTAAGTGAAGGCCCTGTATTGAATATATTAAATTACTTGTTACATAAGAGACTTTAAAGCTTCCCCTCTGTAGCTCAGTGGTGTTAAAGCTTCTAAAGTGACTCATGAGGAAGCAGGAAGCGGGTAGTGTCAACTGGTTCAGCAAGCATGTTTTTATAAAGTGTGTGATGAAGACCGCAGCAAGGAAATCCTGTGTTGAAAAATAGCTCTGTGCTAGGTTACGTGTGGCCTTCACAGGTACAGTTTACATGTCATATAAGTTACGTGTGGCCTTCACAGGTACAGTTTACATGTCATATAGGTTACGTGTGGCCTTCACAGGTACAGTTTACATGTCCTATAGGTTACGTGTGGCCTTCACAGGCACAGTTTACATGTCATATAGGTTACGTGTGGCCTCTTACAGGCAGAGTTTACATGTCATATAGGTTATGTGTAGCCTCTTACAGGCAGAGTTTATGTGTCATAAGGTTGCTGAAGTATGTTATGTGGAAAATGGGTGCCCACAGTACTGCTCAATGGTTAGTCTGTGTTTGGTGTATTTCATCAGCAGCAAAATAGGTTGGCTATTTAAAAAATAGTTTGTGGGCTACAGGTGGTCATATCTGACTAGAGTTTCTGAGAGTTCGTGTCTCATAGTGGGACAAAAATCATATTGTTGTTCCTGTACACTCCCAGTGTGGTGAAATGCATAGTTTAAAAGGGTCACTGTCTTCCTCCCTCTTTCTCGCTTCTTTTCCAGTGCATTGTAGGCAGGAGGCTCTACAACACTGTAGATTGCCAGCCATCTTCTTACTCTTTGAGACAGAGACTCACTTAAGTTTACCAGGCTGGCCTTGAGCTTCCTCTGCAGCCCAGGCAAGCCTCCTGCTTTAGCCTCCTGGGTAGCTGGGATAACAGGCCTGCGCCGCCAGGCTGACCTGGAAATTACTTTTCTACACTTTATCTTAGCCAAAAGGCTGAGAAGTGATTGGAATTACTTTTCTTAATGGAACACAGAACGAGTGGAACCACCTGTCCACCTCATAGGTTTCTTTTTTGTCTGAGTAGGAATCTTACCTTACATTAGTGTCATTTAGATGTTTTCTAATAAGAGTTCTGTACCAAAATATTGTGGTCTAAGTTTCTGTCGCTAGCTGTAGAACTAAGTATTCAGTATATTATAATTATGAGGCATGACTGAAAGACTGAGTTGCTCTCCAAGTGACAGCTTCTCCGCAGCTTGGTCCTGATCGTGCTGTATTTCATTTCATAGGAGTCTCCAAGTTTTTTCATAATGGATTCGGCTTAAGGAAAGACGCTGTTGCCGCCAGCATTCAGAAGATTGAGAAGATTCTCCAGTGGTTTGAAAACCAGAAGCAGCTAAACTTTTATGCAAGTTCATTACTGTTTGTTTATGAAGGTTCATCTCAGCCAACTACTACAAAATCAGATGAGAGGACTTTGACTGGAAAGTTTTTATCCAGAGGACAGCTGTCAGGCACAGAGGTGCTGGAGCACAACAACAACTTCCACGTGCTGAGTTCCTCTGCCAATGGAAGCTCGGTGGGCAGAAGTTTGTCGAAGATGTATGCCCGGCACTGCAAGATGTATTCCAAGAAGCACCACAGCCAGGCTTCTCTGAGGGCTGTGCCCATGGGGCAGGACAATGGGTGGGAAAGTGTGTCCCAGGAACACTTGAATGGGAATGTCCTGTCCCAGCTGGAGAAAGTTCTCTGTCACCTTCCTGCTGGTTGCCAGGAGACCGCCGAAGTTGAAGTGCGGATGATAGATTTTGCCCATGTGTTCCCTAGCAACACAGTGGATGAGGGCTATGTTTATGGTCTGAAGCACCTCATCGCTGTGCTTCAAAGTATTCTGGACAGTTGAGTCTCGCTACAGTCTTTGGGGGAGTGGGCCGGTTGCCGTAGAGCAGCACCCATCAGCTGTGCGTCTGGAATGCCGCGTCAGAATTTGTATTGCGAGTCAACGTTTTGTCTTTATACTTTTGGTAGCAGGTTAACTTTTTATATTCTTACTCAGGAATACTAATCTGTTCGTGGAAACCATGAAGAATGAAGCAGGAATGTTAAGCAGGGAGTGCGGTGGCGTGTGGCGGAGCCCGCTTGGCTCACCCAGCTCTCTGTAGCCAGTTACCATGAAATCTCTGTCCACCCAGCCTTGCCAATGAGCCATATCTAAACTATTACCTTATCATAACACCTTCAGGAGTCCAGAAAGCACAGTTGACATCCTCGGTGTGTATGAAGTTCCTAAAACTGGAGAACATTGTACATCAGAAACTGTTTAGGTGTTAGACTGGAAGCCGAGCAGCACATCGACAGGTGCTTTAGTGTGTGCGTCCCACCGAGCACGGAGAGTGCTATGCTCTGCACAGAGGATGAGACAGACAGACAGACAGGAGCAGCGACAGCAGATGCCCTGGCATTGGGGCTCGGATTGTCCTCGCAAGGGTCTGGAGAAGTCAGAAAGGATATGTAAAAACAAATTATTTTTTTTAAATATTTCATTTATGGAAAATCAAATCTTTAGTGTGTTGTGAAATGTGTCATAAAGTGTAATAATTGTTTTTCTCAAACTGAGGCTTCAGAAAGGTAGATGGTTGAAAGATGTTTTATTTCTTCTTTAATTTTTTGAGTCTTTTCCATTTAAAATCCATGTATTTATATGTGCCCATTTGGTTAAGCAGTAGCGTAAATGTATGTTGCTAAAAATAGCATTTCTCAGAATTCAGTTAACATGGAGAGGCAGGGTGCTGTGCCGCGCCTGGCTCGGTGCTGAGCAGTGTGCTGCGGTCCTGAAGACAGTCCCAGCCCTTTCATACCTGCTGCCTTTCCAGAATCACTCGTTACTTGTCATTAAGATCTTTTAAAAGCTAAAGTTAGATTTGCAAATACCTTTGTCACTAGCACTTTGATTCATTGTGTGAACAGTTGGTTCTTTTGCCATATTTCTGGAAAAAGTTTTGAGTTATGACTTAGACTTTTTTTAGCCCCTTTTTCCCCTTTAGAATTACAAATAAAACTGTTAAATCCAAGTGCCATTTTTTTGTAATGTGGAGGGATTTTTAGACTTAACCTTCTGACCCTCTCTAAAGGTAGTTTGCAGATACCTGCGCCCAAACACAAGTGCAGAATAAATGTATCATCAAAATCTGAGAACTCTGATGAACATGCATTTTGTAATTTCTTATTTTGAAGTGGCAGAGTGTTTCCCATGGGGATGTCAGTTTTCTCTTCTGCCCAGGTGGTTGTTGACTGTAGATTTTTTTCAAATTGTCGTTTCATCTGTTTTGTGGGAATAAGTTACAGGTGATAATTATTAGAAATTTTCTACTTATTATTAGAAAGTTTTCTTACAGTGTTGACTGTTGTTACCGGGTTGGTTCGGTGGCCCTTAAGCCCATCTAATGAGCACTGTTTGACCTTCTGCAGCCTGTGCAGTGGCCGGCTTCCCTGCACTCCAGCGCTGGAGTGAGCTGGCCAGGCGCCCTTCCTCTGTGGCTGTGTCAGTTTGTGGAAACAGCATCTCACCTTTCTGATAAGCTTTTGTTTGAATAAAACAAGAAGTACTTTTGCCTTTTGTTTTTCAGGGAAGGGTTAGCATTTGATTCTTTTTGTTTACATTTTTGTCCAGAGCCTGCCCTCTCTCCTCTGTGATTACACTCTTGTGGGCTCTACACGTTCGCACAATCTGCCTGTGACTGTTTTCCTCTCTTTCCCGTCCTTTAAGATTATGCTGAGATTCGCCACTCTGGGGATGAATTATCAGTAGTCACCAAGCCTGTGTGAACACTAAACATGGAAGAAATGAGCGAAGGAGGAGGTAGTTTGGGTTAATAGTAATACACATCCCCCTCCCCCGTTAGGAAACATGAGTTTAGTGTATTTCTTAGGGAATGCACTGATTAAAAGGACTTTTAAGAAATTGTGGATGTGAATACATTTCTCAAATAAAAATTTAAATTGTAAAATAGTTTTATAATAAAGTATTTACATTAATTATTTTAATATGGATGGAAGTTGCGTAAATTATAATCATTGTTGAATATTTAAATAGTTTTTCAAGAACAATTGTGAAAATGTGTGTCTGGCTCTTGCACACAGCTGGTGGCGTTGAGATTTGTGATTCTGTGTTCTGTGTATCCCAGAGGAGTATGTGCCCTGCCTCTCCAAACCGGTTTGCTACTGCAGTTCTTGCTGAGTAAGAACGGCTTTCTGCATGCTCACTTACTGTGATGTAGTAGCTCATGGTTCTTAGCTGACCGTCCTTTACATCAGGCCGATACATTTATAACATTTGGGACAAAAGAAACAATCATTGCAGGTACAGTTTTCTTGTTTCATGCAACAGAAAACACATTTCCGTATAGAATTCGGAACCCGTAAGGCAGAAGAAAACTGTTGAAGAATTGAGTTTCATTGTGAAGTTGCAGATGTTGAGTCTGAGTCCACTGCCATCAGTTTGCCACCGTTATCACTTCGAGTTCAATATTTAAGACATGATTTGCTCTAAAGTTGACACTGCTGTAATCATCTTCCTCATTGGGAGCCTTTCCCTTGATTCTGTGTATTCACTGCTTCCGGTTACCCTTCTGCCTTCTAAAATGGTTACCTGGGAAACATCCAGTTCCTTTTGAAAGCAATCAGTGTGGCTACAGGAAGAGAAGAGGTTACCGCTTAGAATGACCTTTGGAGGCAAACTTCTTAGTTCACCCAGAAGCATGTACCACGTCAAGTGAACATGTGTGAACAGTCAAGACTAACTGTTACTCTAGCATCCTGTCCAGGTAGAGTATGGGCTAGGCACTCCATTAAAGCACAGGTCTACGGAAGCATTCACTTAAAGATAAACCTAACAACAGAGTTTGGTAAAGGTAAAGTGCTGTCGAGTTAACATGAGGCAGATCGTTTCTGGGCTTTGGGGCCGGGAACAAGTGAAGACGAGGCAGGAGAGGATAGAGGTGGCGGTTCCGCACCAGTGCACCCCCTCTTGACTCAAGGTGGGCAGTCATTACAAACAGCGTGAAATAGCCGCACAATGGCACTCTGCCCACCCAAAGGTGTGTCTGCTTACACTGTCCCTTTGGATGGTTTCACATAATGTTATTTTGGTGGCCCTTACCTGCTCACTGGCTGGCTCACTGCACATTTTACAACTTGGTGCAAAATATTTTCTGTGTTGGTCTTCAAATTAAGAAGTTGCTTGGGCTGGAGAGCTGGCTCAGTGGTTAAGAGCACTGAGTGTTCTTGCAGAAGACCCGGGTTCAAATCCCAGCACCCACGTGGTGGCTAACAGCTGTCCCTAACTCCAGTTCCAGGGGATCCAACACCCTCTTCTGACCTCCATCTGCCCCGCACCACACGGCACACTTATGTGCGGGCAATACACTCATACACATAAAAAAAAATAAAAAACTGAAAGAAGTCACTCCTTGACAGCAGAGTGATTGCATGATAACTTGTTTTGCCGCCCATTCTTAAAGTCTTCCTCTGTTTTGACAGCTGTTAAATCAGAGTCTCAAGATTGTTTTAATTTAAAATTTTTGTCATTGGGGTTAAACTTTGGCCCGTTGTCCACTCACAGCATTAACAGTTTGATTGTGAAGTTAGATGTGTGATGTCCAGCAGATAAACAAAAGGCGTGCACAGACACTTTACTATGGGAACTGGACTGGACAAGACCTGGAGAATATGTGAAATTGCACCTGAACCTGTTTTTCCAGTGGATGCTAAACTTCTTGTACTTGATGAATGAATGTATTTGGTGTACTTTGATTTCAATGTCTTATCTCTAGTTCTCTCTTTTTAGGGTTTGTAATTTGTACTGTTGATGGGGGGGTTCTTGGACTGCAGGGTTGTCACTGTGTAAGATCTGTGCTTTTATTTTCTAGAATCATCTAATGTGACACACCGATTTTTATAGGTGATATTTAGATAATTCTAATAACTGTATATTTGACAACTTATTAAACAGTTTTGCATTGGAGTTTCTTTCTTAATTGCCATACACTAACAAGCTCATGACGGTTTAAAAGCCATTTAACAAATAATTGAGTGTGGTGGTATAGAACTGAATCATTAGGGTTCAGGGGTAATCAGTGTGAGTAGAGCTGTACCCTGGAATTCTGGGATAGCACGTGGGTCAGTCATATAGACCCAGCTCATTGGAGTTAGTGTGGTTGTGAGTGGACTATAGGAGAAATTGGTGTGGCTGTGAAAATAGTATAATTTTTAACAATTTGGAAAGATATTTTTGCATGTATCTTAAGTTTTCTGGATGGGTTGCCTAATCAATGGTCAAGTTATTTTCATCCATTAAGAAGTGAGATTGAGGACTAGAGAGATGACTCAGCAGTTAAGAACACTGACTGCTCTTTTAGAAGACCCGGGTTCGAATCCCAGCACCCACATGGCAGCTAACAACTATAACTCCAGTTCTAGGAGATCCGACAGCCTCTTCTGATCATCCTGGCCTTGCATGACAGGTGCACTTACACATATACAGGTATTACATGCATACACGTAAAAATAAGATACTCTTTAACTTTAAAAAAGATTATACATATTTTTATTTTATGTGTATGCGTGTATTGCCTGCATATAAGTGCATCCATGTCACGCAATGCCTGTGGAGGACAGAAGAGGCTGTTGGATCCCATGGGACTGCGAGTTATAGACAGTTGTTAGCTGCCATGTGGGTGCTGGATTCAAACCCGGATCTGCAAGAACAACCAGTATTCTTAACCGCTGAGCCATCTCTCCAGCCCAAAAAATAAGATACTTTTTAAAAGTGGGATTGGAGATACTAGGAGGGGGTTAATTTTTGAAAAACTCGTGTGTGCCTAGTCTGTGTGGGGATATGTGCCCTCAGACACCAGTGTCAGATCCCATGGAGCTGGAGTTACAGTTATGAGCCTCTTGATAAGTGTTGGGAATCAAACCTAGGCCTCTGCAAGAGCCATATCTCCAGCTGCTACTTTAAAACTTTTGGTGTGGGGCATGTGCGTGAGCTTGGTGTGTGCCCACATGCTTGGGCTGTGGCCCACCCAGAGGTCAGATCAGATCAACTTCTGAGGTTCCATTCTCTCCTTCCGCAGCAAGAAGTTGGGGAATTTTGTTTAAAAGATTCTGATTAAACCTCACCTCGATGGGGTCTGATACTGTTGCTTGTGGGATGACCTTATCTGTAAGCAAGGTGTTTGAAAACTGAGTGGAGCTTGCAGTACAAGCTGAACGACTCTATAGCCTGCTGAAAGCTGAGAGAGCTGGTGGGACAGAATGAGCTGGAGGCTTAAGCGGGATTACCACAAGTCTGTGTCCCGTGTCTGTGTGTGGTGCCCCCCCCCCAAAAAAAAGACAAAAATAGTTGAGATGCATGAGGATGCGGTGCCTCGGTGCCAGTCCCCACGGAAGGAAGGCTCATCAGCTGTAGACGGCAGGCTCTACTTTGCGCAGCAGGTTTTGGGTGCCCTGGGATGATAAACTCACCATTTACTTATGTGCCAGCCTTTATGCCGCATGGTTAAAGAGCATCTTCTGTGTGTACTGCAGTATCCTTGATACCTAAATATTGCAAGTTTTCAGTGTGAATGACTGTGGTACAGCTGATTTGGATGCTCTGGAAATGTTTGATGTTAAGGAAACGGAGGTGTTCTGAATGAAGGGTTTTAAGCCTTTTGTGTATGTGGTACCAAGGATCAAACCAGGACCCTTGTGCATGCTAAGCAGGTGCTCTGCCTCTGAGCTATACCTGCAGTCCTTAAAATTATTACCTTGTGTAGCCAGGGAGGTGACCCAGTGGATAAGAGTGTCCTCTGCAAACAGGACCTGAGCTGAATCCTCAGCACCCATGTGAAAAAACAAACAGAACCGATGAAAACCAGAGACCCTGGGTACCTGGAATCACAGCACTGCAGGGTGGAGACAGGATCCCAGGATCCCACTGGCCAGTCAGCGTATCCCAAAAGGCAAGTTTCTCCTTCAGAGAGACCCAGTGCCCTGTGGTCCGACCTCTGTGCGGACACACACAGACAAGCACACCCACACTCCCCACAGCACAAAATCATTACACATTAACAGAATTGATAAGGTGCCGTGGGACCTAGCTTTTCTCTGCAGTACTGAGGTTTGAATCGAGGGCCTCCGTGCTAGGTACCACTGAGCCACATGGCCAGCCTTTGGATTGTTAAGCAAAAATTGAGAGAAAAAGAAGAAAACGCTTTGGAAAACAGTTGCAGTTTGTGTCCATGGCGTCGGCAGCTCTGAAGTGTGTAGCACGAGCACGCAAACTGTGGAGGCAGCTCATTGGCTGTGCCAAAAGCCTAAGTGAGCAGCCAGTTCTGGTTGGCTGGTTAGGGTGCTCCCTGCAGAGCGGTGGTAAAGGCCTGCAGATGCTGGAACATTCTGTGGTTTGACCTTTGGCAAGTGAGTGCATGCCTCTCGGGTCTCCTGACTCGGCTTTAGGAAGCCGTAGTTCATTGCTTTTGCTGGGTGGGTACAAGGAAAGTGACCAGTGTAGACGCGCAGACACGCGATCGTGTGTGGCATGGTGAATATATTCCATACGGTCTGAAGACCGTAACAAGGGTGGGACAGACAGCTCAAGGGCTTGGATACTGTTCAAAGAATGTCTTCACATCTGCAAAGAACCAGGACCATCCCCACTCTAGTAGGCTCTGACTCCTCTAGGTATCCAGGGGAGAGAGCAACCCAGGTGCTGGACCAGCGCGGCCACTGTCAGGACTTGATGCCGCATCCCATGCCAAGTGCAAGCCGCTTAGCTCTGCTGTGTGTGGCTCAGGCTGGATGAGCCGGGCCGCCCTTGTGGGCTCCTCTCGCGCCTCTCCAACAGGAGGCAGGCCAGCTGGCACTGTGCTGCGGGGTGTGGGGCGGTGAGTTCTGGATGACCCCTGGGGAAGCCAGCTTGCTGTCTTAGAGTTAGGGGCCCTGGCGAAACTGAAGCATGCAAGCAGGTTGCAGGCTTTGGTTTGAGTTTCATTCCTTACCAAATCAGTCTGTGGGGGAGCAGGCACAGTGCAGGGGCCACAGGCTCCGAACCTAGTGGCTCCCACCGCACCGGGAGAGTCTGGCACCACTCCGCCTTGGGAGGGCGCGTGAGCCATCGCTAGTGGCTGCCTTATGTTTTACTTTACAGCGGGATGCTGCCTTGTGCCTCTTACTAATGCTGATGATGAGTGTGCCTAATTTTCTTCCAAGTGTGACAACGTTTATGACAAAAGTTCTGGGGGAAAAAAAAAGCCTCCCCTCTGTTTTTGGTTATGTGTGCCAGTTCGGTATCAGATGGCAAAACTTTTTCACTGAACAAGAGGTTTGGGTTAGGCTTGAGGTATGGGAACTGCTTCATTCTAAAACACTATTTGAGCTTGAATATGCTTATTGTTAGTTCGGCTACATTTTGGCTCCTGTAAATCAGAACGCCACATCAGCTCCTTGCCCTTTTCTCCTGCCCCCCTCTGTTGTTACTGTATACCATGTCCTCAGGTCTGCCTACTAGTTTATAATCAGTTGCCCTTCCCATGTGTCTTTTATTTGTTTTTTCCCCAAAGGAGATGCTGTTATATTTTAACCAAACATTATCCTGCTTGGTGTTGCAATGACAAACACCTGAAGCTGGGACCTTTATAAAGACAGGTTCATTTGGCTTGAAGTTTTGGAGGCAAAAAGGTGACCCCAGGCATTTAACCTGAAGGTGAGTGAGTGTACTCCGGGTGCATCACACAGGAGCTCACACAAGAGAGTCACATGGAACTGGGTACAAGAGGGATTGAGGGGTCTAGCTCATCCACTATAATAACCTACTCTCCTGGAAACTAATCCATGCCGTGGGTGGGGTCCCTACAACCTAATACCTCCATCTACACCCCACCATTAAAGGTCCTACTTACTACCTGTCAACATGGCCACCCGGGACCACGCTTTCAGAAAATCAGCCTTTGTGGGGACACACTCAAGCCTTCTCCACACCGTAGCAGTCTGCCTAGTTTGTTTTGGATGTATTTCTTTCGAATAACAAAGTTGGTATATCTTCCTGGAAGAATGACAACACCAGCACTCTGGGCTTAACTCATCAAGTCATGGGCTTCATCCTGGTGCCTAGATTGGAGCTCTACAGTAACCTGCTCAGTCTCAAAAGGGTGAGTAGACAGATTGGTGTTTGACCCCACACAACATGCCATGTGGCTTCTTCAGGCTAAATCTGACTTCATTGCTTTTGTGGAGACCTTAGTTTTACAAAGGGGCTGCAAATACTTGGTTCTTTGAAATATGGTCTTATGTTCTTGAGATGAACCCATAACAACATAACTTAATCTTCCCTCAAAAACAACTGAAGTGTATTCAAGTATCTAAATGTTCTAAACTTGTTTACAGTAGTCCTTCCAAAAGGCCTTACACAATTTCTGTTTTCAGAGGGAGATGCTGAGGGTAAGTGGTGGCTGTTTGTGCTATACATAAATGGCTGTGTGACTACTTAACTCCTATACCCTTCCTTTGACAGAACAAGGCAAGCTCCTGTCAAAGATGAGCTCTTTCCTGCCCCTCCAACCCCACGATGTCCAGTGTGGTGCCTGACTTCCCTCACTTTCTAGTTACTCTCGGTGATTTTCATGTATACAGATGATTTTCACAATGTTCTGACCTCTCAGTCTCTCACTGGTTCACTTACAATCTCCGTTCTTGAGCCTGCTTCTGCCCCTTGTCGGCAGGGGTACCGTGGACATGACCATAGTACTGATGACTATCCCACTCTGTCCTCTCTCTGCTGTGCTCTAGGGGTCATCTTTCTACTAGGTGAACTTTCCTGGGGGTTCCATTAGGGTCTGTGAGGCAAGAAGAGTAGACAGGGCACAGACTGTGCATGGCAGAACTGGAAAACCAAGAGGCACACCTGTCTGACCGCAGGTTAGATAGGACATGGCTGTCAGTCACCACCCCGGTCCACACAGCCACACATTCCCTTGTCCTCCCATCTCACTTCCCTGGAAAACATTTCTTGATTGATTGCTAGCAGGTTTTTTTTTGTTTGTTTGTTTTTGTTTTTTGTATTTTTGAGACAGGGTCTCCCTGGAGCCCCAGCTGTCCTGGAACTCACTATGTAGACCAGGCTGGCCTTGAACTCATAGAAATCCCCATCTCTGCCTCCTGAGTGCTGGGATTAAAGACTTGTGTCACCGCACCCAATTTAGCTACCATTTTTTTTTAGCGATTAAAAGCAGAAGAATTAGTAAAGCTACTCAGGAAGACTGTTGGGAAGAGACTTCACAGTACCCAGAGACCACTGAAGTTGGAAGGGACACATTTCAAGTGCTGCCATCAGATCGCTGTATTTTCCACCAACCGTTAGAGCTCAAAGACACTGGTATTGAGTTGGCAGGGATAATCAGGGCTTGCTTTTCCAAAGATGTTGATTTCTTGTGTGTGAAGGGTAGGCCATGACTGAGAGGCCAAAGAGAACCAGTCCCAAGTGCAAGTCTGGCCCAGGAAGTTTCCAGTCGGAACAGCACAGCTCCCTGCCCACCAAGCCAAGGCTGGACCAAAATAAATGAAGAGCAGAACTGACCCCAGCACAGGCCCCAAGCAGATGTCAGGACCAATGAGGACTTCCCTTGTATGTTGGTGGGAATGGCATGCTGGGAAAGTGCAAGCACAATGACTCACCCCCGGACACCACATAGCGTGTAGTCCAGGGAGGCTGCTCTGGTTTGCAGTAAACTGAATAAACTCCCTTTCCGCACTGTGGGCTACAGGGTGAATTCCTTCAGCAATTCTAGCACTGTCTTTTCACCTTCCACAGCATGTTTGCCCCTCATTAATACAAATTAGAAACAGTCCAACCAAGGATAGACATCCAGTGTGTACCTAAGAGCTCTTGAGGACAGGGACTATTAGATAAAATTCTGGTAAATTTCACTAATACCCTTTTCCTTCCCCCAAAAGGAGAAACACCACAGAAACTTGCTGCTTCCTGGCTGGACTCCTGGGAGAGCAGTGCTGGAATTATTGTTGTGTTGTTATTGTTGAAACAAGGTCTCATGTAGCCCATGCTGGCCTGGAATTGCCTGTGTGGCTGCGGATGACCTTGAACGTCTGATCCTCCTGCCTCTATCTCCCAAGTGCTGGGATCACAGGTATGCAGTGTGTGGGGGAGGAGTGCGGGGTGTGTGTGGGGGTGTGGTGTGTTTGTGCATGCTAGGTAGGCTCTCTACCAACTGAGTTACACCCCAGCTCATAATACTGTTGATCTTGGTTGTGATAGCACGTACATAAATGTATCTGTCAAAACTCCTGGGACTTGTTAAATGCTGGCACTTGGTTGCATGTAAATTATAATTCTATAAAGCTGATTAAAAAAACAACAGGCAGCCTGTGCGCACTGTGCAAGTGTGGGTCGTAAGATACACATCTTGTTTGTTTACCTGGGAACTAGTCTGTCTCAGGACTGAAAGGAGGAGGCTGGAGACCACTGCTTAAAGACCCTCCCAAGCCACAGGCCTCAGCTGCTCCCTGTTCCCACCCAGCCTTCAGCTGCTACTTGTTCTTAATTTACTCCAAGGAAAGCTGAGAGCTTTCATTCAAATCTAGTTTCTTCTCTACTTGCCAAGCACTTGAACATTTTACCTAGGTAGATGCAAGTCTCTAAGTCAGAAAGCTTAAGGTGAATTTCTCATGGACTGCCCTTATGGTCTGCTGGTTCTAGTTGCTAGGAGATAATGACTTCACTTAGAAGTTAAACTGTGATCTTAAGTTAAACATTAGCTAGTAGTTACCCGGTCTTTACCCAGCCCCAGTATTTTACCAGGCTCAGGTTTCAATCCCTTAGCTATTAGCAACAAAAACATTTCGGAAGAGAGTAGTCACAGTGAAAATCAGCTACACTAGAGAAACTAAGTAGTTCCAAAATTCCTGGAAAATTATACAGATGCTTTCCTGGTAATCCAAGCTCAGTGAATGTCAACATCATTTTTCCATCTGTCCTTGGCAGCAAAATTTAGAGGCACTCTCAGCTTCTGATTTTCATACACTCCAAACCCTTTTCACCAGCAAATCGTTGTGGTTCGACTTTGCAAACACTTCAGCTTCTGGTCCTCACCTGCTCCAGGGCCCACGGTAGTGCAGCTGGCCCTGGTCCCCAGCAGGCTGCTCGGCCGCGCCCCGCACTGCTGCCCTGCTTCCCCATCTCCTTTGCTTCGCTCCGCTTAGCAGAAGAAGGGCTGCTACAGTCCGAATCGAACTGTCCCACTCTGCTTCCAGCCCTGATTTCCCGTTGCGCTTGTGTAGACTGAAATCTTCAGTCTCTCCCAGAACCTTCTGTTCTGTTCTCAAAGCTGTGACTGCTCCGATCGCTTTTCCCGCCTTCCCAGCATGCTTACCCCTTTGACCTGCACCTTCCTCTGCTCGAGGCTTTGTCTTTAGCTGACATCCGTGTTCGCTTCACCCCTGGAACTCACACCCCCCGAGCCTCGTTGGTTCCCACGTGCTTCGTGCTACCGAGGGCCTCATTCTCCCATCACCCCAGGTTCCTGTGTGTTCCTCCCAGGAAGGTTTTCCCTGCGCAAAACCCGATGCCCGTTGCTCAGGGATTCTACAGCCGGAGTTTGACTGAGGGCCTTAGTTCTCTGGTGCGCGTTCTATTGTCTGTGCCCCTTCGCCCTCTCTTCCCCTCGCACGCAGCTCACCCTGGGTGAAGCCCCACACGAACAGACGCTTTTCCTTTCTGTTGGGATTCACAGTCTGTGCTGCTGGGGCCCAGAAAGCGAATCTGCAAAGCCTGGGGCTTTCGCATGCTGAGTACTTTGAACTCAAGGGGCAGAAGGCCCCGAAAGCAAGTCTCTTTCTGCCTTTTTTCTCCTGTTTCCTTTCTTCCTCCAAGACAGACTGTGGACGCGAGAACCCAGGCTGGAGAAATGGCCCAGTGGTTAGAGCACTTGCTGCTCCTGCAGAGGACCTGGTTCAGCTCCCAGCACTCACATCAGGCAGCTCACAACCAAGTGTAACTCCATTTCCAGGGGGAGCTGATGTCCTGTTCTGGCCCCCATGCACTCCAGTAACCCTCCCCCAGAGTATATATGTAATTAAAATAACATAACTAAAAATAAATCTTTTTAAAAATAAAATCTTAAAAAGAATGAAACCGGAACCCTTTTCCAGAAAGGTAGTAGTAAAGCCTGGAAACACTATCCTAGCTTTCCCCTAGCCATAAAGGGAGTCTCTGACCTGACCTTGTCTGTTGGTACGCCGTAGCCCTGACCCCATTAGGGGCAGAAGGGATTGCATACAGAGAGGACAAGAGGAGTCTGGGAGATGGGTCCTGATGGGTTCCCCTCCTTGGTTTATTATGATCCACTCGAACTTTCTCCTAGTACGTTGCTATAGCCATACAGCCCCTCAGCTCTACACAGGGACAAAGACAGCAGTCCATGGGTCTACACATCAGCTTCAGAAGGCTCCCAGGCTTCGAAGGACTCTGAGTAAGGACTTTGTTTTACTCGTGGCCTGTCCTTTGATACGAAAGTGCTGGCTGTGGTCTTCCTGGTGGTTGAGGAATGGCAGTACTTACCCACTCTGATAACACCCTGAACATGGCTTGGCCTGAACAAGTACTCATCCTGTGTTTGTTGAATGAGAAAACAGATAAAGATGTCTTTCCATCACTAAAATTTAGGAAATAAGCACTCACAATCCCATTGCCCGGTAACTTGAGGGCTTTAGAAGATTGCAGGTCATGTCTGAACACAGATGAGCCTATTAGTTGCATATTTCCTTTTGGGGAGACCGTGCTGGGAGCACACTCAAACCTTTGAATATACAAAATACATATTCTACCAGTGAATTATAACCCCAGTCCCTGTGTGTGTGTGTGTGTGTGTGAGAGAGAGAGAGAGACAGAGAGAGAGAGAGACAGAGACAGAGACAGAGAGAGAGAGGAGGGAGGCATGTGTGACTGTGTACACATGCCATGGTTTGCACGTGGAGATCCAAAAATAGCTTTCAGGCCTTAGCTCTCTCCTTCACCGTGGGTTCCAGGGATTGAATTCGTGTCATTGGGCTTGGTGGCAAGCACTTTCACCCACTGAGCCATCTCTCTGGCCCTGGGGGCTTCCTTTTATGGGGCTCAAGAGAAGGATGAGGTGGTTATTGAGTGCAGTTTGACTGATTCTCTATTTTGATTGACAGTTTTCAAGTAATGCAACCTGTTCCGTACCGTGTATGTCCCATTCCATAATGCATCATATTTTTAATCAGATGTATGCCCAATTATGCCTAGGCATAAGATTATAAATGAGGGTGTTGTTAAAGCTCCTGGGTGCAATGTGTGAACAACATCCACCCTTTCTTCCTTAGCCCCAAGGACAGTCTGAGGTATGATTCTACCAAAGTACAGTCTGGGGGAACCAATGGGTTTACTGGGCTTGCTTACAGAGCAATGGGTGAGGGGTTACTTATGGGAGTGTGGATGCTCCTCTAACGCTGAACAGAAAGTTTTCATTCAGCACGGATGGTGGCTTCCCCATGGCCACATAAATGTCCCCTGCCCCCAGTTCCTCTGGCCTATACAATCCAGCCTTTCCCAGAGGTCACAGGCAGTTAAAGCCCAATTTGCCCACAATGGGCTGGGAGGAGCGGCAGGATGCTCAGGTGAGGGCCCCCTGACCCTCCCGTCCCTGCATCAATGAGGGGAGGTCAATACTCAACTAGTCCAGGTGTCTTTTGCACACTGGCACAGCTGAACTCCTGAAGTTGGTATCTATTTGGCTTGGAGCACAGTCCTGTATAGCAAGGGGACTCTGAAAGTTCAGTCTGAGGACAGTTTGCTTATGTGTGCATCCCACACCATTTCAGGCTGGATGGGCCATTGCCCATCGTTTCTAGACATAACTAGAGTGCGTACGAATAGAATCCAAAATTGGTCTCAGTTTGGTTGTTGTTAAATGAAAGAAAAACTGACTCCATTGTTCAAAGAGGGGTGTTCTTGCAATTTGATGCAGATGGGGTGGGTTCCTAGGTTGCTAACAAGTTGCCCGGTGCTTTGTTTAGAGAGGGATGTGTGCATAATAGTCACAGGTAAGGCTCTCTGACTGCCAAGTGCATTCTTAGAAGAGGGGTGTGTGCATAGCTCAAGCCAAGTGCAGTCCCAGGTTGCTAAGCTGTGCCTCAGATGAGGACTGACTCCGGGAGTTTGGGGTCAGAGGGTTTTCAGCACTTTGATGTTTAAAGACACCGTTAGTTGATCTACTAACATCGAAGCTGTAGTCCATGGCACCAGAACTCATGGTGGAGCCCTGTTTATTGGCACACGCTTTCCTTCCCAGGCACATTATAGCTTTTTCTGTGTAAGAACCTAATACAACCCTCTGCTCCACTTGAGAGGGCAATATCATAAAAAGGTGCCAAATGTGAAAAAATATGGAAATAAACCAGTTAGAGCACTTGTGTGGCTGGGCATGGCGGTGCATGACACCAAGCAACCCGGCATTCAGGAGGCTGAGGCAGGAGAACTGAACTGTGGGTTCCATTCCAGTCTGACTTACATAGATCCTGTCTCCAAAAAGAAATAAGCAAGCCCTGTGTGCTGTCTCATGCCTGGCATCCCAAAACTGAAGAGGTTGAGGCAGTTTGCCATGAGTTCGAGGCTAGCCTTGGCTGCATAGTGAGTGTTAGAGTTAGACCCTTTCTTGAAAAAACAAAAAGGAGCTCTTCCTATAAGCAGCCTGAGGTGACCTGTGAAAATGGTTTGCTACTCTCTTGACCCATAAAACCCTTCAAAATCATGCAAATCAAGAGGTTCCAATCTTCATGTTCACTTTGAGAACACACTTGAAACTGCCCAGGCTATCAAGAGTATGCATATCCAAAAAGCCACCAAGTATCTGAAAGACATCACTTTAAAGAAGCAGTGTGTGCGTCATTGTGGTATAATGGTGGAGTTGGTAGGTGTGCCCAGGACAATCAGTGGGGCTGGACATAGGGTCCGTGGCCCCAAAAG